GTAGGAGCGAAGCTAGGGCCAAGGTCCAAGACTGATAGTGCATTTTCGAAAAGACTAATATCGCCCATGCTGCCAATAACAGTAACCCTGCTACCAGTGGGAACTTCTACCTTGTTGCTGTCAAACCGCGATTTAGAAGGGGTAGAATCTTTTTGTGATTGTGATAGGCTATGCCCCTTCAGATCCATCAGTCTACTGAACTCGTTTTGAAGTCTCATCTTTGTGTTTGAACGGATGGAATCGCGAATAATCTTTGACTCACATACAATCTAATCCCACTGGCGACTAGGCAGTAACCGTTGGCAACACATTTCTCTTGACAAGCATTTGTTTAACATAGAAAAAACCTGGTTTTTCTTGCTTTTCAAAGTTGTCCTCAGAATGCGAAGCTCAATATCTTCTATTTGCTTGCTGCCAGCCGGGAGGGCGCATACCTCGTGTAGTCGTTTATTCCTGGCATAGCTTTGCATTAATGTTATGAGACTTTTTTAAACCTGCTGCCAAGATGTTAAATAAGTTCTTATCAACTTACGTTTCGGCGTGATCGCCTTCGTCAGACCCTGGAAACCTGTAATATTACTATCCATCCTTCATTCAACAAATAAACTTCAAAAGACTGGTTACCTAGACTAAATGTCCCCAAAGGGGCATGATAATCGTAAACATATTTAACAGCACGACATGCTCTGAAGTAAGGGCGGCGCTGCACAAGCGTGGCCTAAAGGACATGGTACGAGTAGTCGAAATCCCACCTGAAAATCTGAAGCGGCGGCTGGTTCGAAACCGCTGCTACGATCGAATTCGCCTGACTCCCAATAGCGTGATCTGCCCTAACGGACAGGAGGCTGATTGCATGACACCAGGCGTCGTTTACTTGATCACATGCAATCTATGTGAGGATGAATATATTGGAGAGACTGGACGACCCCTGTGCGTTAGGGTCAAGGAACATCTGGAGGGCTTAAATCGAGCAAGGGTGGAGGCTCACTTAGGTGCTCACCGAGTAGAGTCCCATGAAGGTGCGGTGTTTGGAATTACAGTTAGGATCCTATTGCGGGAACCCCTAACTTCGGCGCGAAAGACACTCGAGGCATTTTTCATCAGCGCCTAGTCCCCAAAAATGAATAGGAAGGATGAGTGCATGGCCGTAGCTAATGAACCCGCGCCTTTCTCTGACCTCTGTGGGTTTTGTTTGCCCCCAGTATCACGTCGAGAGGGATAGGGTATATCATCCAAAGCTGCCCCAAGTGCCGATGGGTCAGTTTAGCGGCGGTCGTCCAAACGACCGGTTGTTCCTAGAGGTGGGTTAAATATGTTTAGGGTTATCATGCCTCTTTGGGGACACTTAGTCTAGGGAACCGGTTTTTTGAAGTTTATTTGTTGAATGAAGGATGGATAGTGATAATATATAGGTTTCCAGGCTCTGAAGAAGGTGATTACGCCGAAACGTAAGTTGATAAGAACTATTTAACATCTTCGTAGCAGGTTTAAAAAAGTCTTATAACATTAATGCAAAGCTATGCCAAGATTCGTCGAGAGTCGAACATGGTCCTAATTATCTAGCTCAAGAACGAGGCACAAGAACTACAGCAAAACAAAAAACAACTATAAAGTTCTCGGCTGATATTTCCACACCACCAATGATTGCATCTTGACAATGAAAGCACCTTCATTTCCCTTGAAAAAAAAAATTCATATGTTATTTCCTGTGTTTATTGTGCAGTTAGGTATGCGCTCTGTGCGGAGACATACTCTCTGCACGGAAATAACTAATTTCCTCTGATCTGATTAGTGTGAAGCGTCTTCCCTGACACTAATCGCCTTCAGATGAACGCCATAATGTCACTGGCAATCCTAAAAATGAGAAAAAAGACACATATGCTGGTGGTGATGATCCAGCTATTTCATCTGACGTTGATTGAACTCTGTACGAACGTACCGACCACTTTCCAAAGTGCGCCTTTGTTTGACTTCCGAATTCAAGCATCGCTTAATTGTTATACACGTATGGGATGGACACAATTAAGTTTTCGTCCAACTGCCTCTCGTTTCGGTCCTATCCCGTATGAGTCAAGAGCTCAATAAACTGGATTCAGACTGATCGACGTTCGATCCTGGTGCATGCGCGCGCTGGTAGCGCTGACTACCGTGGACCTATGTAGTTCCGCCATACTGACTGATTTTGGGAGCTGAACTCAATTCTCGAATTTCTACCGTTTCCTTTCACACAGGAGATAAAGTGGTAGTTCTCAAAACTAGCAAGATTCGGGAATGGAGTCCTGTTCAGGAGAACCAAATCTTTTACCTGTCCCAATTCTTTCCAACTCCTGAATCCTTTAATGGAATTAAATTGGATCACAGAAGTGGACGCACTCCGGAGAATTGGAAAAAGCAAATTCTTATCCGAGTTCATGCGAATGCTGATATAAAATTAGCATGTCCCTTAGAAGAGAACAATAGCGCGAAGAAAACCAAAGAGTAATGAACAGAAGAAGTTGAGGGAAAGGAGGAATCTTGGGGAAGATTTGCAGAGAGACAGGGTATGCAGGAGAAGAGGAAGTTTACCGTAGCTGAACTTGGAGGGCGAAAGAGGCACCGAAGGAGGCCAGGAGCTCGAACGGGACCGATTGCAGGGAGAAAAATGATAACCACAAAGAAACGGACTGAAACTATACCCACCCTATGAAGCTATTAATTCATTAAATTATTGGTTATTACATTGATATTCGAACATGCAGCATCCAAAATCTCAGGATTCTCGATATAATACTGCTTTTGACTTTTGGGAAGAAAAGAGTGGACTGTCTAGTGTTAGTAATGGAAGAGATAGCCCAGACTAGTGCAAAAGTGGCGAAGAAAACGCGAAAATAGGCGTATTCAGAGAAAATTAAGCTTCAGAAAGGAGTAAAATTAAGGGTCAGACGAGAATGTGACGACAGAATTCGCATGGAAGGGGTATTCAGCTTCATTCTGTTCGAACGCGCGCACCATCACTTACAGGTGACTGCAACACACTGCCTGCATTCAAGATGTGGGTCCCGGTGCGAATAGTGCAACCTCCACAGCTTTTACAACGTTTCACATCTCGTCCACTTTGGGTGTGAACGTCAGCTAAGCCAATTCCGGTGGCCCTTATTGCGCCCTATCCTGACTGTGTTCTGAACGACAGCGTTCCTCAGGCTATACTTCGGGATCACAGGTTCATACTAGGGAGAAATATTGGAGGCCATTTCTAACGTGAACGTGACGTTATTCCATCATCACCTCCAAACAATGCTTCCTCATGGAAATGTTCAAGTATTTTCTACATCACCTACGGAGTTGTAACTTGTTTTTTTTAAGCCTCGACTCCTGATTAGAAAATTTACGAGTCTTTAGGAGTATTCTTAATCTAGGTTGTCCGGTAAGTACCTGTCGGAAATTGTTCAGATTTCTCGCGGGATTTCCTGGACGCTTCCGTTTGCTCCTATAGGAATACTTTAAAAGGAGCTACTCACTTGTATGCGCATTGGGTGAGCCCATTTACGAACGAATCTTCCCCTTTTCTCGTTTCAGCCTCTCCCAAACCCATTAAAATGGCTTCCCGTTTTCCTGCCCATTCGATTTGGGTCAGCAATTGACGATGGTGCGCAGTCAGTGTACCCGTTGTCACGATATCGATCGCTCATCTGCAAGGAAAGTGCGTTGGGCCGCTCTAGGGTCTTTCAAGTGTTTTTCTTTACCCATTATCGCAAACGTTAATTACCTTATAATTTCTCTGTTGTCTCCATTGTCTGACTTGTTGTGGTTCGTGTTAGTGAAGCTTCAAGTTTGTTTTACGAGTTTTTTTTTTACTTAGTGGTAATCATTCGCATCATTTTGTTTAATGTTTCTTCTTATAGCTGTAGGCCGAAGCTCGAAAACATTGTCTTTTTATCAACTAAGAATTCTTCTCCAATCCAGTTCCAAATCACGCTTTGTGTTGCATTCTTTTAGTTGAATCTAGAACTTTGTTGTTATTTGTATACAATGTTTGCCTTAGCAGCGTAATAAACATGAACATAATCTGCTTTTAAGGGCGTCTAATA